TTAAAAAAAAAACAGTTAAAAAAAATTAACTTTGAAAGACTAATGAATCATGGTAAAAAAGCCATGAATTCTATGTGCAGTATTCCCCTAGTGCTGGAGTTCTGCCGTTCTCATTGATTGGTAAACTTGGTCTTGGTTGGCTGTTCCTGCCGATCTTCTGGGGGAGGGGCCTGTTGCCGTGGTTCCCAAATGTCTTTGCCGGTGGCGGAATTGCCCCGCCCTTGCCCGACCGGGCTAAGCAGTCTGCTCGGGTTTGCTCTTGGGAGCTTTTGTTCCCTGCAACTTTCCGTACAGCATTGGAGGATAGTGAAATTGGTGGCCTCCCAATCTCCATCCCGGAGGAGCCGAGAACTCGGGGCCCCGCTCCTCAGTGCGCCCCCAGAGAAAAGCAGTTACACACTCCCGTCTCCCCGGTCTCTGGCCGCACTCCGTGCTCACCCGGCCTGTGACCGAGCATTTCTATCTCTGGCACCCGACCCCATGTGGAGTCTCCAAACCCAGCAGATCCCTGCGGTGTGCTCCTGCGCCGCTCCTCCTGGGGGAGGAAGGGGAGTCTCCCCGGATCTGCTGCTTGGTTGGGTCCCTGCTGGAGGAGCAGTGGCCCAACTGTTTCGTGGATCACAGTTTATGGCAAACCAGAGCTGAGAGCCCGCGCCTCAGCTCCGTCTCTGCAGCCAGCTTCCCCGCTCCAATACCTGGGAGCTCTGCTGCACTCAGGCACCCCTGGTCTTTCTGTGACCCCGAGAGTCCTGAGACCATACTGTCCTGTGAGGGTTCCACCCCCAGCTTAGCCACTGGAGCGACATCCTTCAGCAGAGCCGACTTCTAAAAGTTCCGATTTTGTGCTCCGCTGCTCTATCACTTGCCAGAAGTGGCCGACGGAGGCCCCCTCCCCCGCCGTCTATCCGCCCGAATATCGCCTCGGATTCACTTCTTTGCACGTCCTACCTTCCAGAAAGTGGTCGCTTTTCCGTTCAGAGAGTTGTTGCTATTCTTTTCTTCGATCTCCTGTTGAGTTCGTAGGTGTTCAGAATGGTTTGATCCCTATCCAGCTGAATTCCTGAGACCAGATGAAATCCAGGTCTCCTACTCCTCTGCCATCTTGCTCCGCCCCCCCAGATTGGTTTAATTTAAGTAGCTTACTATTTCTAGGTATTTGTTTTGTATTATGTATTCATTTATTAAGAAATATTTATTGGACAAGCTATGATTTGGCAAGGCACTATGCACTTGACAAAGAAGGAGATACAGATCTCATTCTCCATGTTTAAGGCCAGAAGGAAGAATAAAGCTAACCCAAGTTATATAATGATTTGCTACACTTATTTCAAAAAGTGACACATGGTAGAAAACTTAAATTTATGTAAGTAGTATATTTTAAACTCCCTTTTATTTCCTGAGAAGCATGTAATATGATTGCATGATTCAGTAGGATTCCTTTCCATGTTTTAATAATGCTGGGGGCAAAAGGAGAAAAATTTGGCCTGGAATTGAGAAAAAAATGCACGAGGAACAGGGTTGGCTTGATAGAGAGGAGAAATGTGATTGGTAGGATTGGAGAACTCTGTTTCACTGAGACCTTCAGTTCTTTGCTTTTTCTTTTATAGGTGTGAGTGTTATGACTATTTGTTTGATATTGCTGTATCAATGAAGAAAGTCGGGCTGGATCCTACACAGCTTCCAGTTGGAGAAAATGGAATCGTGTAAGACAAATGAAAGTTTAATGATATACACAAAGTTTATCTTGATTATGACTCAAAATGAAACTCGACTATTCTTTTTAATGAATTGAACATTTCTGTGATACTATTAATTTGTCACTAAGTGCTGAAGATGACCACCCTGAATCTGTTCGGACATTGGACAATATTTGCTAATAATATATTCTTATAATTTTAAATGACAATGCAGTGGAATAAAATATTTCATAATGAATTTTTTTTAACGTTTACTTTTAAATCCTTAACAGCAAAATATTCTTTAAATTCCTTTCTTACGTATACTCCCAGAGAATTCCTCTTATTCTTTAAAGTTACTGATAATATTGACTGGATGAGAAAATTTCCATTCGTTATGAAATGAGCATTTTCTTATTTTAGTATTGGCATCGTAACATGTGAAAAGTTAAAGCCAAATGTATCTCTCAATATTGATGTCAAAGCAATTTATAGATTTCCCCTATACGGTGTAGGGCTTCCCTATGATAAAACGTAAGGCACTCATTTATATTGGAATCAATTGTGAAGTTCCTATTAACTCCCACTCTCCTCACCAAACCAGTGATATAATCAGAAAATGCTTTCTTTAGGGTAGCCAAAAACAACATCACCTTGATCATAAAGGTTTCACTTGGTGAAGGCTCTTTTCAGTTGGGGGAGAAAAATCAATAATGTACCATCTCCACAGTCTGAATCTCATACACCCCCTCTCAGTTTCCTGTCCTCTACCCTTTGAGTTCATTTACCCCAGGTCTTTCACTCCAGCTCCTGGATCGCACCCTTTGTCATTATCTAGACCCCGTTCCTGTCCTTGCTTCCTCCCTTATGAAGCCTAGATGACAGCCCCTATTCGCACCATTCCATGGCAAACATCCTAACCCCCTTGTACCGTGCTCCCTCCGTCCACTCACCTGGACAGCCCTCAGTCCTTGTGAAGCCCCTTACTTGGCACCTGCACCCATGCGGCAAGGCCTGATGGGGAAAAATTACACAACTCTGTTGACTGATCTCACTTCAGGTTTAGGACCACAGATCTCAGGTGGGCACTCGATCCTGCCAAACAAACTTCCTATAATTCCTTAGTAAATTCATTTTCCCAACTTCGTGACTGTTTCTCCTCCCCTTATCTTTCATCAGATCTCCAACATTCTCCCCACCCCCACCAGATGACAACCTCTCATACTTGAAGAGATAAAATAGATTCATTCCAAAGAGAACTAATTAACCTTTCCAGCTCACGTTTCCACCAATCGTCCTGCTTACAGCCTTCTTTGCCACTTTCCTTGTACCGAGTTGGTTCTAAGGCCAATTCTTATGCCTGGAATCCAATGCCCTCTGACCTCAAGGGTTTTGCTTCTGCAAGGGTCCCCACATGGATGCCATTTTTCTCTTGTATTGGCAATTTTTTACTCTCTTAACTGGATCTTTTCTATTGGTATAAAAACATAGTAAAATGTCATCTATCTTAAAACTCACACACACATACACACACACAAACTTTGCCTTCAACCTTCAGCTCATCCAGCACCTTCAGAGCAAACATGTTTCAAAGAGTTGTCCACTTTTCTGTCAACTCTTCTCTCACTTGTTCCTTGACCCACTTCCTCCAATTAGGTCACACCACTCCACTGAAACAGATTTACCAAGAGTAACAACCCCCACACCCCCAGCCTCCTTGAATGCTTCCTTTACTTCTTTGCTCTAAATGAAACCTGTCTCTCCCGGAGTCACAGTTTCCCCTGAGGCTCTCCTCTCAAGTGGTGGTAGTTCTCACTTCCTCTACCCCTAGGTACGGGGTGAGTGAATTCCTTGAATATTAAATGTCTTTCCCTTTCTCTCATTCCGTTGTACTCAGCAAACTTTTGGTCACAGCTAATCCCAGGTCTTCTGACTCCACACCTGTACCTGTGTGCCTTAGGTGGCTGAAGGGAAACACATAACCACGTTAAGGTCATTAAGGTTGAGTGGGCTTGTAATGCTGCCTGGGAATTTTACTTTCCTACCTCATCCATTCATTCCCTCACTCTCCTTGACAAGTGTCTCTTCAAACTTCAAACACCTCCTCCCTGCATATTCACTCTTGGCTGATGACCCTGAGTGCTATTTCATTGAAAAAATAGAAGCCATCATGAGAGAGCAGAGCATAATGTACAGAGTTATCGAATCACTATGTTGCACACGTGAGACTAATGAAACATTTGGTGTCAACTATACTTCAATTTAAAAAAAATAATTAGGGGCGCCTGGGTGGCTCAGTCGTTAAGCGTCTGCCTTTGGCTCAGGTCATGATCCCGGGGCCCTGGGATCGAGCCCCGCATCGGGCTCCCTGTTCCACGGGAGCCTGCTTCTCCCTCTCCCACTCCTCCTGCTTGTGTTCCCTTTCTCACTGTCTCTCTGTCAAAAAATAAATAAAATTTTTGAAAAATAAAAAAATTTTAAAAAATAATTAAAAGAGCTTGCATGGGCTTGTACCTCTCTGCTGGGACTCTGATGAGCTGTCCATGCTTCCCACTAAGGCTAGCATCTTCACGTAAAGAGATCTCCACCCCCTTCTCATGCAAGGACAATATCCACGTCAGAATTTGCAGTTTCCTGAAGTCCTCCCCAACGCAGTTAATGGTAACGCCATCCTTCCAGTTGCTCCAGCTCATAATCTCGCTATCATGTTTGGTGGTTTCTTTGACAGGCTATACATCCAGCTAATTAGCAAATCCTATCAGCTTTCGATTCGAAGTATCCAGAATCTCTCAACTTCTCACCAGGTTCACTGTTAACCACCTTGGCCCAAGGGCCACCATTTCTCCCCTAAACTATTGCAGTTGCCTCTTAACCAACTTCTCTACTTCAGCCTTTGCTCAGCACCCCACTTCTGTCCCCAATAGTCTATTCTCAACACAGCAGCCTGCACAATCCTGTCAACATGGAAGTCAGCCAGTGTCACTCCTCTGCTCAAAACCCTGGCTTCCTGTCTCACATTGAAGGCTCCACACAGCCTCCTCCCGACATCCCCATTGCTCATTCAGTTTCCCTCCTCCCCACTTACTCTGCTCCAGCCACACTGGTATCCTAGGGAGTCTTTAAATTTTCCAGGCAATTTCTTTGGCAGGTGTTCTCCCCACCCTTAAATGCTCTTCCTCCAGACACCTGTATAGCTCATTCATGCCCTCCACTCATTCAGGTCTTCAAATGTCACCTGTGTGGTTTTCCCTGACCATCCTCTTTTAATCACAACCCTGCCCTATTCCCCTCATCCCAAACTCTCTTCTTCCTTGCTTTAGTTTTAGTTGTAAAGCGCTTATAACCAACTAGCATGCTATTGTGAAAATTAGTAAGGGGGAACCTCACTAAAATAAAGTCAGGAGGTTTCCACAGGAGGAGCGATCACACCTACCACTCAGTAGTCAATTGCAGACCCAACAGGGAAGAGATGGACTTGACCTTGCACGTAGATACTACTCTACTGCTCTAGCTGGAGGAGGACAAGCTTTCCTTATCCCCCCAGCAACAGCTCAGCCAATGAGAAGCCACCACACTTTGAACTCCCAGGTTACTCCAGTGGACTTTCAGTTCCTAACAGCCTTTCCAAATTACCCCTGTTCTCCTTAAAGAAGCGTGCCTCTCCTTTGTTCCCCCTCCCCATGTGTGTATGGTTTTGCTGCAGCTTGTTTGTCCCAGATTGCAATTCTTTTTTACTCCCGAAATAACCTATCTTTTGCAGGTAAAATAACTGGCTGTTTTTACTTTTACAGTTAACACAGTGATTTAATTGTTCACCTTTCCCCACCCTCACCAGAATACAAACCCCATGAGGACAGGGATTTTCGTCTGTTTCGTGCACTGGTCCCTTGAGCATATCTAGTACAGAGTTGGTACTAAATAAATATTTGTTGAATAAAAGAGCAACATTTTGCCAAAACTAGTGATTAGTTCTCTGTATTTTGCATGAATTTACAGTAGCATTACTAGTGATTATTTCCTCCTTGAAACGTTTTTCTCTAGGCTTCCATGACCCCAGACTCATGCCATTTTCTACTCACCTCACTGGCCATGTCTGCGGTTCTTTTCTTGAGTATTTCTCCTCTATCAGACCACAATGTTGGAGGGCCCCAGGGCTGTCCACCCTTAACCATGCTCTCCATCTTTACTTTTTTCCTGGGAAATCTCATTCAGTGCCACAGCTTTAAATATTATCTACATGCTGATGACTCAGTGTTCTATCTCCAGCCCAGACCACTCCTTTACATTCCAGACTTGTCTCCACCTCCTACTCCTCACCCCTTGGATGTATAATAGGCATCTAAAACACATCATGGCCTAAAACAGTGCTATTGATTTTTCTTTTCCCTATAAGCCATCGCCCTCCCCCTCCCCACCCCCAGACATTTTCTGGAGGCTTATACTAAAGATCTCTTTAAGACAGACCTGCCTTGTTCACTACAACCAAGAAAAATGCCTGACACATTTTAACTATTTGTGTTCTGGGTTCTAGGTTCTATAGTTTTGGTTACTTCAGCTTAATTTCATTCTCTTCATTTTTAAAATGAAGCTAATGAATGAGATAAAGTACGTAAAAGAACAAACCACAGAGCTTGACCTTTAGTAGGTATTCAATACTTCAATAAATATTAATTACCCTTCTTTCTATAAGTCCCATTGAATTCTCATAAGAGTGTTTTGGGAGGTAGGTATTGTCCCACTTTTTTTTTTGGATGAGGAAATTGAAGCTCAGATAAGAATAATAACTATGTAGAATAATAAGAAAAAGTATGTAAACGTCTTACCTCAGTGCCTGAAACTATTATAAACACACCCAAGGCATTCAACTCAACCTATAAAATTTCTCTCCTGAACAACCCTCACTTAGCTATCCTAGAGATTGTTGTAATGCAAGGAAGTCATTGATGTCCTGCTGCACTGTAGCACCTCTCCCGTTGTGTTTCTTACCCTTGGAAATGCAGAAAAGATTTGCGAAACCTGATTTAGAGGTGGAGAAATGGCTGCTGGAAGTCTGTATCACCCAGTTAATTTTTTTTTTTTTAAGATCCCTACAATGTGGATTGCTAGGAGCTGAGGTCCAAAAGTGAATACAAATACAGCTGTGGGAGGGCTTATTCTCAACATCTGACACATGGGTGTTGAGTGAATATTTGTCCAGGGGGGCAACAGGCATTCTTCAAATGCCCTTGTGACTGTTGTTCTCTCAATTATTCCTACTTCTTTAAATAAGGAGGGGAAACGTTGGTTACAAATGAAGGATTAAACTGGTAAGCGATCTAGATCAAACACTTTTATTTCATTAAGTGCAGGACATTCCATTCACTCTCAGATTGAATAAGGGATTAACATA